TTTCTTGACTCTTCACTTTCCTCTTTTCCTATATTTTTGTTTTTCTTTTTCTTTTCTTTTTTTTCTCTCTCTATTTTTTTTCTCTCTATATTTCCCTCTCTTTCTCCATCTCACTTGCTCTCTGTAATTGGAAGAGGGAAAGGAAGGTGGGATAACGGAGGGTAAGTGATAGGAAAGGAAAGGGAAGCGAGGAGAGAGAAAGAAAGAGAGAAAGAGAGAAAGAGAGAGAGAGAGAGAGAGAAGAGAGAGAGAGAGAGAGAGAGAGAGAAGAGAGAGGAGAGGAGAGAGAGAGAGAGAGAGAGAGAGAGAGAGAGAGAGAGAGAGGCCGGAGTAGAGATGAGAAGGGAAAGTTATTTTTCAAGAGAAAGAAGCGAAATGTAATACGATGGTTAAGTGTAAGAGGTAATGGGAGAAGGTGGCAAGGAGCGGTGGGATGGGGTCGCGTGGTGGGTGGATCGGGGGGGGTTCCGCCTCGTCAGCGACATTCTTACCTTCCGATTGATTCCTCTCTTTTTTTTTTCCCCCCCCCCTTCCCTTTCCTTTCGTTTTTCGTATTCTTGTCTTCCACTTCAGCCGCTTCTCACAACAATTTCTATTGCTGACCTACACATCGCTAGCTAATTCATTTATTATCCCTTCTCATTTCGTCTCTTCCAGCTATATTCTTATCTCTCTTTATTTCTTTCATCCCTTTTCTCGCTCTCTCTATTTCCTATACTCTGTGTATACTTTATTTTCTTCTCTCTTCTTCCGTCCACTTCAATATCTTCCATAATACACTATCACACTTACATCTTATTATCTCATATTTTCTAGCATTTTCTGTTTCTTTTTCTCATATGTCATTTTCTTTTTTTTATTGTCCTATCTGTGTATGTCTGTCGGTCTCTCTCTCTCTCTTTTCTTGAGGAAAAGTAAGATGTCTCTGTAACAGAAATAAAAAATTGGTGCTAAAGGAGAAATGAGACAGCGGAGCGGGGGTCTCATTGTCTCTCATGGGGTTCTCATCTTCTTCTGTCTCTTCTTCTTCTACTTCCTTCTCCTGCAACATCACTTCCTTACTCACCATTTTCTTTTTCTCTTACATTTCTCTTTACTCCTTTCTTTGTCTCTCAATTCCTCCTCTTATCCTGTCCTCATCTCTATTTCATCTAGCTATTTCTTCCCGCTTTCTCTCATCTCTCTGCTCTTCTCTCTCTCCCTCTCTCTTTTCTGTCTCTTCTCTTACTCATCTTCTCTTTCTCTCTCTTTCTCTCCCGGCTCCGGGCTATGACGCAGAGATGAAGCCTCCTCTTATTCTCTCTCTCCGTGACGACTTTACTCTCCCCTTTATCCCCCCACCGGCTTTCCTTCCCTCTCCTCCTGAATATTGATAAAATTTTTCCCCCTCAGGTGATAAACGCTCTCTAAATCACTCTCCTGATGAAGCAAGGCCTTTCGGAAACGCGTGAAAGGACTCGACACTTCTCTGATTTCTCCCTTTTCACGCGCACTCATCTTCTTGAAAAGTATCGGCGCATTCGTTATTCCCTCCTCTCTTTTCTTCCGTCTCTCTCTTCTGTATCACATTTGTCCCGCTCTTCTTCTTTGTTTTCTTCTTGGCTGAGCAAAATGCTTCCTCATCCTCTTCTGCAAGGCGAGGGAGGCACTGGGTATATATCTTAATGTCACGTCACGGCACGGGAGGCAGGGGGATATATTGAAGGGCTTGTCGTCAGCCCTGAGGGATAGGCTTCCTCTCGGGGTCAAAAGTTACAAACGCTCAGCTGGGCCTTCTGGGAGGAGCTGGGAGAAGGAGGGAAGAGTGAATGCAGAAATCTCAGTTCTCCTGCTCTCTTCCTTTCTATTCTTAGGAAATTGTGCGTTTGGGAATACCTATATATATATATATATATATATATATATATATATATATATATATATATATATATATATATATATATATATATATGTCTCGTGTATGTGTGTGTGTGTGTGTGTGTGTGTGTGTGTGTGTGTGTGTGTGTGTGTGTGTGTGTGTGTGTGTGTGTGTGTGTGTGTGTGTGTGTGTTGTGTGGTGTGTGTGTGTGTGTGTGTGGTGTGTGTGTGTGTGTGTGTGTTCGTACGTGTGCGCGCGCCAGCGTTTACAAAACAAATTACGCATGGACAGTGAGGCAAACAAAACAAAACAAAACTAGAAAAATATGAGAAAGCGAGAAATTCTGAATAAAGCAAAGAATGTACAAGAAAGATAAAAACGTTGAACCAAACCCTGTGAGCAGCGGGACTTAAAGTTGCACCGCCAGTTCAAAAGATGGCGCTGCTGAACATACCGTGTTGCTTGTTTGTTTACATCCGCTAGACTATGCAAACAAACAAAGGCAGATCAAACAATGCAAGGATTGTCACATTGTTCAAAATAGGAAGAACGCCATGTTTTTCATGCTTTCTAAAAAAAAATAATTCAATATATGTTAACTAAATGTGACGCAAATTCATAATAAAATAATAATAATT